TAATCTTTTAGGTGTGCATCTTTATTTTTATTCTTCAGAAGACACTGAAGAACTGCTCCTGGGTTGGATGCTTGGATGGATTCTGTGGACTTCTTGGTTCAGGGTTCAATACTGTAAATTTATAAAAATGTCTTCCAGGGAAGTCATTGCTGTTGGGGCAGTTACTCTACTGTATTAAAGTTTTTTATGTGACTGTCCTTCCTGCACAAGTTTATGGGAAACAGAATGTTTGGATTAACCTCCAGGGGTCAAAAAATTCTATACATGCAATTTTTTCTGTGTTCCAGGGAAGTGGTTCCATGGAAGTGTGGAAAACTCTCTCTCCTGGGTGAATCCCATGGAGATTTTGAAACATTTGGGCCTCTATTGAGGTCTCTTTTGATTCAGGCTTCAATTGTGAATAACACAAACAAATTTCAAGTATTTTTTTCCAAATTTTTCCACAAAAAACCAAAAAAATTGTGTCAAAGAAGTTTGTTATAACGGAATTCCCAAGTTTGTTATAACGAGATTTTTTTAACATGTAGTCTATAGGCTTTCTGCCGGGACTTGAAAAAAAGTTTGTTGTATTGAAAAATTTGTTGTAACGGTATTTGTTGTAACAAGATTTTACTGTACTGAAGTGTGGAATATTCGTAACTATCTTTTTTATGAAGTTTCTTTTTTTTCATTATCGTCAATAACGAAGTATAATATATCCATAAAACCTGTAGAGCAGTTTTATTATTGAATTGTTGTAAAATGTGTTGAACTTTTGACATGTACATTACAGATAAAAGCAAAGAGCATTGCTGAAGGGCTTCAAGTTTCCCGTTTGCCGGATTTCACGAGCGAAGAGAAAACATTAATCCGCGGATTCAATCACTACACTTCACTCTTCGTGAAAGACGAGGTTCATCCGCCGATTGCCAATTATTTCAATGATCACGACACTTCGACCTTTTCTGATCCAACTTGGTACACGTGGGTATATCCGAAGGCAATTAACATTGAATTCCCTAAAATCATTTTCTTCGAAGCGACGATGAAGGAAATATGCACCACGTCGATACCCTCCCGATTTTCTGTGGCCCACATGCATAATTAATTTATTTGATGCCATGTGCATGATGGATGCTTTTCTTATAATTGTGGAAATAAATTCAACTTGAAATGGAATAAGGTAAAATAAATCATAACAGGACACTCTCAGTTCCAAAGATAAATTATTTTTCGCCTTTACAGCATTTGACGTTTACTATAGTTTCAATTTTTATTTACAAAAATTTGGCCAAAAATTTACACTGTATCTGCATACCATTGTAACTATATTTTTCTGCCTTCCAAGGTTTTAGAAAAGGTCCATCTGCTATTCGCATAAATACCTCTTACATGAATTTCTAAATGCATTACTGAATCTGTGCATGAAGGTTTTTTTGTTGCATTTTGGAGAATATTTGAAATACCGAAAGTGTATATCTCTCGAATCCGTAAGTTTTATTGTCGAAGGAATATGCCTCCTAATATATTTAAGGGCAATGCATTAATATTAAGAATATGAGGGACGCACTTTACCAGCAATTAATACATCTCCTATATGTAAATCATCTTCGTATTTGATGTCAAGATGTTAATTACCCGAAGTTATGGACCAAATCAGACTGCGACCTAATATGAACCCGTCTTTTCTTGACCTTTTCCTATTGTGACTTTTTCTTCATGAAACAAAACGGGAAGCATTTATGAGATGAGCTTTCACCCATATGGGTTTCGTTTCAGGTCTGGTTCTTCCTGGCTGAGACCAGTGCCCTTTGGCTTCCGGGTATTGATGAACTGGATCAAGGATGAGTACAATAATACTCCGGTTTACATCACAGAGAATGGATTTTCTGACAACGCCGGGTATTCAGATGATTTGCCAAGGATTTATTATTACAAGCACTACATAAACTTTCTACTAAAAGGTGAGTATTTTAGATTAGCTTACAACTGCCAACATCAGAATTTTGTTGCAACAAAACCTTATTGGAACCAGGGAAAAACGTTTCTTATTGCTGAAATAATTTCTGTGAAGCATTTGAATCAATTGCAATAACAGATAAGACTAATTGGCTAAACTGCAGGAAGACCGTATAGTACCAAATACAATGAAATCATCTCATTACAACAATTACCATTACAACAAATCTTTCAGTATTACAAACTTTTTCTCAAGTCCCAGCAGAAAGCCCACGTAGAGTACATGCTGTATTAAAACATTCCTGTTATAACAACCTTCCTAATTCCAGTGTAAAATTTTTTTTTGAGAAACATTCAAGAGATTCTCAAGCAAATATGTATTTCCTGGCTAAGGCTGGTACAGTCTGGAATTTTCAATCCCAAATGTTACTTAGGGGTTCTTTTGAAGCATGAATAAATGAAAGCAGGTTTGTCATTGATTATAGCTTCAAAGTCCCCACCTCATCCTCATAGAATAAAGATTTTCACATCATCCTCCCAAACTGAAGAGGTTTGGTGCAAATGATGGAATGTATATCCTTGGAATGAAGCTATAATATTTTTCAGAAGATCACTCCGTTTTTTAAACAATGATGAAAAAATCTGAGAATGTCAGAAAAGCAAGATATAATTGATTATGGGCAGGTCTTATTTTACAAATTTTCCAACCATTAATTGTTAAAATATTTTTATAATAAAAAGTTATTGATGAGTGCAACACACTTTTTCTGAAGTCCCCAAGGAATTAAGTTTGTTGTAACAAGAATTTATTTAAATCCGCTTTAAAAAAAACTTTGAATATTTCATTGCCGCGAGATTTTTTGTAAGGAGGTTATAAATTACTGCACTATCATATACTGATATCTGGCTGATAATACTGTACTTGTATTTTTTATATTTCAGCGATTTATAAAGACGGATGTAATGTCAAGGGCTACACAGCTTGGTCACTTATGGACAACTTCGAATGGGCTCGTGGTTACACGTTAGTGAAATTGTTTTTGGATTGATAATATTATTTTCCTTGATCACTGTGAGCTTTTATGTGCTAATATACAGGGAAAAATTTGGCATCCACTACGTGGACTTCAATGACCCGAAACGTCCGAGAACCTTGAAAGCATCTGGTCATTATCTCAAGGCTCTTTTCTTGAGGAACGGATTTCCGAGTGTTCGGTGTCCTTTGGATGAATGATCGGAATTGACGGCATGATTTCATTTCTAATGGGAACAGAATTTTTGACAATATACCCATATGCGCTCCTTGACCACTTGAAATTTCCACTGATTTCTCAATTCTGCTGAACGTGAATATGCTATATTTTAATAAAACTTCGGATCATCTTTATACTCGTATGTACTGTATATAAATATTTACTTTGATCAGCTGGGCCCAGAAAAAAGTTTCAAAACGTTCAAAAATCACGCATGCTGGCACATACCATACACTAGTGTGCAATATATGCCCGTAAAACCAATATGATGAATTCTAACGAAACGTCGACGACGAGGGCATCAACAGGTAGAATGCAGTGATTACATGAGGTATTAATATTACAACAAGAATTCATGCAGACCATTGGCATCATTTTTATTGTTCGTGAGGCTTATCATTCGGAAGCACCAGGGAACACGGAAAGTCAATTGAAGTTTCATTTCACTACATACTTTCGTCCATGATTGAAAATTATATAAGCCATCGAAAAAAAAGAGGAAAACAAGATAACGCCGTTTGCGGTTTATTTTTTACACATACGGGATACGGATGTGTAAAAATGCAACTTCTGTTGGCGAACAGTACAGTATTTCCTGATAAGATATACGAGGATAAGATATATACATTTCCCTGCGGACCCATTTTGGCACAAGTCTTGGAATGATCTGAACACTATATAAGGGCTTTCTAAAAACATTTTTCTCATGTTCACTAGTTCCAAGAGGCTAGGCAAACACCCAAATGTTATCACCACAAATTTTAAACACTTCTCAGCCCTTTTCATCCATTTGTTGAGACAGGCCTCTTTGAGATGTTCAGTTGAAATTTTCCATCAGAACAGCAGCAACAAGTTGTTCCGCGCGGAACCGTGTAACCCTTTGCTTATATAGAAGGTTAGACACTTATATACATGCTACACGAACATTATTTGTAACAGATTTCTGAGCGCATATGCAGTAGGATCTCGTTATAAAGTAACATAGATTTCAACAAAGTGGTTTTTTTTAGGTCCTGCCAAATATCAAAAATTAATTTACCTCTTAACGAATTTTTTCTACAGCAATTTCACTGCGTCCCAACGGCATTGTTGTGAGATTTTACTGCAAATGCAAATGTATGTTCCAGCACAAATAAATAAGGCATACACAAGGGATAGACCAATTCAGAATAATACGGTAATTCACAACAGAAGATTAATCCCTTATCAAGAAACCATTTTTTCCAATAAATTTCTCGACATTTCCTACAGTCATTAGCATTGATGATTTACAAGTTTATTGCCCCGTATTCAGCTTAAAGACACGTCTAGTATGATAACAATACTTGACTAAATTGCATAAGATTATCTTCGTCTTCACAAAATAACCACGAATTCCGCATATCCAGCAGCCCAATTTCTTGTTTTTGTTTTTTTTTTTACTTCAAAGCCAGAATAATCAGCGCTGCATAAATTTCAACTCATTCAAACCGCCGGAGAACAAACCGCAGAACATTCCGAACTTCTACGCAAAAAAAGGAAGAAACATACAAGAAAAAATTATAAATCGAGACAGAGAGAGTCAGAAATCGGGTAGAACTACAGAACAACAACATCCACGCAGAATTATGTCCACACTCCTGATGAATCAGCACAACCGTAACAAATCCCCCTGCTCGTCATATCCCCCGCCGCACAGCTTTTTGTCTGCGATACGTAAAAAAAGGAGGTTGAGCACATTTCAAGCAAGCAAAATGTATAAATGCAAATGCCCCCGCGGAAGACCGACACAGATAGGAGAGGAAAAAGTAGTCCGAACTAATGATGAGCGCAAAATTAAGAGGCATCTCGCGAAACCCTAACTGCGTCCGAAAGCAACAAGACTCTCCATCTCACTTCGGAAGAGAATAAGCGTGTCACATAAAATCAAAAGACATTCAAAGTCCAAAATAATTTTGGAAAAAAAACAGCGATTCACCGCGAAGACACTAAAACGGCCAACATTTCGAAACTGCAATGCTTCGCAAAAATGATTCACACACACTAAGTGGAAAATCATGCAAGAAGCTTTCTTTGAATTTTATTGGAATTTTTCACTGGAAAAAAAAAGTCGAAGCGAAAAACAAACGATTCCCCAGAAAAGTAACTCATATTGAGAAGGCCAGCAATTTAAAACCTAAGACGGTAGCAAAAATAACCAGCAACGCGTAAAAAACTATTCATGAAAATTTCAAAACTAAAATTTTGGAGGTCACAGTCGACATTCTCGTTGTGCAAAAATATAACAAGGAACTTCATCCTCCTTCAAAAGCGATAGGATAATCGGATACGTCGGTTAGCAGAAGCACATCGATGGAGCGAACATTCGCCAAGAAGATGAACACTCATCAAAATTGTCTTTTCTCCGATTTTCGTGAAACATATTAGCTCATATTTTAAAACAGAAAATATTTTCGTCTGAAAGCGGTAGAAAAATCGGACCCGCCATTTTTTTTTTTTTAGAAGCACATGGAGGAAGGCAGAAATTACGTCAGCTTGATCTGACGGATTCTCGTCAAAATGTAAAATTTGGCCGATTTCTGGACACCTTAATTTTATTGATTCGTTCAACAAAAACAGCATTTTTTGAAGTCCATCAATACAACAAGACGAAGTTCTCGCTACTTTTACAAATTATCAACCTGGAAAACTCAATGGGATAATTAGGCTTGATTAATCGAGAGATGATTGAAAGGAATCGAGGTAAGAGGCTATCTTAATCCTAATACTGCAGTGAGAAGCTTTAAAAAATAAATAAAAAAAACGTCAGGTTGCATCATCAAAAAATAGAGGGAAAACTGAAAAAAAAAATTCGGGAAAAAAAGCAAGGACGATTTGAATTCTTACGTTCTGAAACAAAAATTCGCTTTTGCACCATTCCCGCGTCATGGCAACAAAATTTCAGCTGCACTCACACCAACCCGAAGGGAAGCACACAATTTTCCCTCATCCCTAATTTTGACACAAATAAAAAACCTGAATCGGGGGACAAAATAAAAAAAAAGACGGGAAAAGAAAATGTAAAAAAAAAGGTTGTGGCACAAGAATCCTTGACTTAAAAATGCCCCCTAATTTAGTCAGCTTCTCGAGCAAATAGATTTCCTCTCATCTCAGCGCGTCTCATTCACGCAAATACAAACACTAATATAGTAGCGCGAACGAACAAAAAAAAACCTTCTTCACCTCGTAAATTCGTTGTGTATTACATATAAACCCAGCAGGCCAAGGAAAACAAAAAATTTGCTCCTTGTATCACACGCAAGGTTCCAGGCATTTGGAACATTTTCTTCTCCTGACGGACTTCAACAACGGATAGCAGCAATCTTTCAAAACCTTCCTTCTTTTTGTGGCGAGTGCAACAGGTCCACTTGGATAATCGAGGAGTCGCTTTCACTTCCGAGTTTTCAGAGCCCAATTTGATCGCCGTAAGAAGTTTTGATTTACGAACGGAAAATTTTCCGAAATGATTTCCGAAGCAACAGATTGCAAAAATTGAAAACATTCCATTTTACTGTGTTACCCAGGCAATTCTACTAGAAATTAAACGCTATGTTAACAGAGATTCAATCGTAATATTTTATCAATTTAAAATTTGCTGAGACTAGACCAACTAAACCAGATTAAACAATTACAAATTGAACATGAAAAATTTCTTTAAAAAAAAAAGAATTTTTACGACAGCGTCGATTATACGCATATCCAGCGAAAACCATAGCGTGAAGAAACTCTCAAAAGTTTTTCATACGTGACCACAATGAAGATTATCGTCATTTCCTTCGATTTCTCTCCCTTACATAAAACTTAGAATCGACTCACTCTTCTAGAAGAGCCAGCAAACCTTAAGTTGATGAAAAATTGCCACGCGAATTTATGCGGAATGTCAAGGGAACGGAAATAAAATGTAAGAAGCAAAATATTTCATATTTTGTCAAGATGATGAGTTCGATTTTTCAAGAGACAACAATAGAATTTAAATTTCATAATTTTGTTCGCTTTCATTTATTCTTTCTTTTTTTATTTGAGAAAACGGAAAGATAAGGTGCAAGCTGAGACTGAATCCTCGAGTGGAAAGATCGGAAGACTTCGTGGACTAAACTTCACAAAGGCTTGCTAAGATTCATTCAAAACAATGATACGAATTTCAAAGAAAGTTTTCTTGGTCAGTCAATCGAGAGTTCATCTGCAATTATGAAAAAAATTTAAAATCTAGTCGTTAGGCCGAGAAGTAATCCCACGAGAAAAAAATTGTATTAGAATCCAAGACTTGAAATTTCGAGCCTCAGTTCACAATTTGGGACAAATTCGGATGGGCTAAAGCTGCTCGACGTCGCAATCAAAAAATTCGGCCTCGCTTCTGATTTCCACCGACATGCCAAGAGGAATGTGGAACTCGGAGACGTCCTCCGGACCTGCACATTTTGTTTCCAGTTTCAAGAGACGAAAGGGAAAACCACCACTGCCGCCACAAAGCGGGGGAAGGAGGCGACACCTACATACTCAGAACAAGCAGGAGAAAAAAAAAAACAAACACCGCCAGGAATGTTTATCTTCTCCGCTTAAGCAGTTCCGTTCCCGTTTTTGTGCTGTCCGTTTGTAGAGAGTTTATTGGTTGAATTGGTGTCCGTGACACCACCAGTGTGTATCAGACCGTCGAAAGTCGTCGTTGACGTGGAAGTGTCGATTTTCGGCGTCCTTTTCGTAATGGCGACTTTCTTGTGGACGAAAAAGGCGCCGACGACGATGACGAGCACCAGTCCAACAATGAACAAGGTGTAAGTTGCGGCTGCTTCCACAACCTCCGGCATTTCAATGGCTTGGTGAACTTTGTCGTGCACGAATTGAGGCATTTTCTCAATTCCCTAGATTTCAAGAAAATTTCCAAAAATCAGTAAACGTTCGAATAAATGCGTAATACAGGTATGCATTCATCTCGCAGTACTTTAAACAAATACGGTATTTGCAAGTTGATATAACATTTCGTGTGATGCCGGAAACATTTTTTTAAATGGGTCGAAGTAATCCATGTCCTACAATAAACCGGTCAACGAGAAAATAAGCAGTTCCGCATGTTTTGAAACCTTGGATGAAGCGTTTGCAAAATCGCATCAAAACACTGGCTATGAATATTCGGAGGAGGTTTAAAACGAATTTGAAAAAAAAAATATTTAGTTCAACTCGACTGTACAGTATTTCATTAAAATTTCCCCGAACCCATTTGCAATTCTTTTGAAATGTCAAGAACTGTACTTGGAGAAACACACTCGTATCCAAAAACTCTTCAGAATTTCCAGTCAAGACATTTTCAAATTTATCCGTTGGCGAAAAAAAAAAATTTTTCCTTCGGACTCACGGATTCCATCCAAAGAATCGGGAAAGTTGTGTTCCTCATGTTCCTTGTTCCTTTAACTTCCCAAATGCTTTGCAACTGGATGTTCACTTGCAGTCTGGCTTGAACACTCAATGGAAGTCCGAGTTTCTGTAACCAAACCAACGAAAAAATAAGTCAGCCGTCCAAAGTATTGATCGCGTCTTTCTAAGCCAAAATTCAAACTGATTGACAAAATTATTTCATTCATAGATGTATGATACACTTATCGTTTCCTCTGCGTCTAATGAAAAAATATTCGCAAAGACTTGGGACAAAAGACTAAGAGAAATTGAGCATCTTTCGACTCTTCATTTCTTCGAAAAAATTCAATTTGATTTTCGAAATGATGTTAACCTCAAGTACGGTAAGTTATCACTTCCTGCAAGAGGCCTACAAAAGATTTTGGAAAGATTCAGAGTATGGTAATTCAAAGTCTAGGGGACCATTAGAGCTTGATGATCAATTACTTCTCCATTTGACAAAATTAAAATTGATAACTCAAAATGATCTTATCCAGAACTATAGTGCAATACAATACAATGATCATTTCCTCAGCGTTTTACGTAAATTTTTTTGCGAAGAATTATTCAAGAAAACTATTGAAAGCTGATTATCACTCGGACTGTTCCGTAAAATGAGAAAAGTAAATTCGGAAATGATTTCAAAAATGAAAGACTCGAGAACAAGACGATCCCGGATACTGTTTCAACGGTTACATTTGACAACAAATTTTACAAACCGGCTCCAAGTCCACGTAGAACTGATGCTTTTCCTTCTCGGGACTCAGTCCTTGAACTTGTTGCAGCAATTTCTTCTCGCCCTGGTAGAAGTGCGGCCACGACATGTATACAGGTGACCCTGAATTGGAAGATACGAAAAACCACGGAATCATGAGTGGAAGAGATATTTCATTCAATCCCAGCAGCATGAGGCAAATAGAAAACATCCAAGAAAGGAAAAATCATACACGAAATCGTCTAGAGTCCGTTTTTTCATAAATTTTCATGCATTTTAACGCAGGGCATGTCAAATTTAGCTTTTTGAAGATCCTTCGAAGTCTTCAGACTTTGAATAAATTAAAAAACAAGTGAAAGCATTCCTCCTCCACCTACATGTAAGTTTACTAATTTTGTATAATAATCAAGCTTCTTTTTCCGATAAATTATGCACCTGAGTTTTTTCCTCAGTCGATCGCGACTCAAGTTAGACAATACAGTAATCGGTCTACAGTATTTTCAACTTATTTCACAATAAAGAACTGTCCCCAAAAGTTAGCCCGAACGCTCCGATTTAATTTATTTCAGGACATGTTGAAAGAAAAAAGAACTATGGTACATAAAATAATTATAATTTTTATTGCAATTAGCTTTCAGTTTCGAATAGATCACGCAATTGACGTCTTCCTCAATCGATCGCGACTCAACTTCGGAAATTTGGGGTTTGATTTTAACCCATTTTACAGCAAAATTGTCCACGAAAATCTATTGCAATTAGCTTTCAGTTTCGAATAGATCACGCAATTGACGTCTTCCTCAATCGATCGCGACTCAACTTCGGAAATTTGGGGTTTGATTTTAACCCATTTTACAGCAAAATTGTCCACGAAAATCAGCTGGAAAACTTCGTTTTGATTATACGACATTTTAATTATAGGACATTTCTGAAATATATACAGCACACTGAATTTGAAAAAAAAAGAATTTCGTAAAAATTGAGTAGTTTTATATTGCAAAGAAACTTCGTTGTCCGAAAGATCCCGCGCCTGACCTGTATAGCCCAGTCGATTGCGATTCGAGTCAAGATGTACAGCAGTTTTCATTTTCAACACATTTTAAAACAACAAATTGACACCGAAAGTTTGGCCCGAGCTCCGTTTCGATTTACTTCAGGAGAGATTAAAAGAAGAAGAAAAAAATCATAGTCCTCCGCCGAAATTTCCACTTGATAAAACTCATCATTTTCTGTGAACTCCGCATCCAAGGACACCAGCAAGCTTTTTTTCGCGTGGAGTATATACCAGGGGTCTAACCAAAGTTCTCGGAATATAAATTAAAATGGCGTATAATTGAGCTGAAAAAAATTATTCTTTATGGAAAACATATTCTTTGGCTCACAAAAAAAAAATGTTTTCCCTAGAGAATAATTTTTTAAAGCTCAATTATACGCCATTTTAATATCTATTCCCATAACTTTTGTTAAAACCCTCGCACATGCCTAGTGTATGACGTCAATGTTCTGGAAATTACTTCGCCCATCAATCGCTTCCCCTCTCAGTGAATCCCATGGCAACTCATTCCGCTGCCCAATTACGTTAGTCAGACAGTCTCCTTGTTTGTCAATCTAAAAATACCCTTGGAAATTTAAAAAAAAAAAAGAAGACGAAGAAGAAGAGACATCCGGAGAAATGCTTGCACGCGCATCGCATCCGTGAATGACAAGACACCCCGCGTGGAGGAAGAAAACCCTGCAAGTGCTCGTGCGGGCAAAATTGTTCCGACAGAAACACACAGACCAGAAGAAGACCAAGAAGAAGGAGGAGGAGGAGGACAAGAAGGCCTCGAGGTGACAGGCCCAGGCAAGCAATATTACTACGTCGTCCCACCAGCTTATTTCGAGAAGCATCAGCATGATCATCAGCATTTTTCCGAGAACGAAGGCCCAGCAGTGCACAAAACCTTTTTCTCGCTACAATTTATTCTGCGAGTATATTAAAATTCGTCTCGAACGCAATTTTTCAATACGTGGAAATTCAAGACATACATCTGCTAATTTGGAGTCTTCACTAAATTAATTAGGGAATTACAATTTGATTTCGCATAAAGAAGAAAATAAATAATTTCTGAGAAGTTCAAATGCATACTCGCGTGTAAGAGGAGAGAAAATTTAATTTGATTTGAAAATTACAATCGTTGGGAAGCTTAATGGGGGGTTTAAATATGTGTTGGAATATAGTACAGGTGGATTCTCTCTACAACGAAATTCTCTCTACGACAAATTTTTTCTGGTCCCTTGAATTTCGTTCCAGACAGAGTCCACATGTACTATCATACAATGAAATTTTTCAATCTATTGGAAAATGCATCGATACCACATGCAGTATTCAACAGGCTGTACTAAAAAAAATGCTGTTGTAGAGAGAATTTCGTTTTAGAGAGAGCCCACCTGCATTATATTTCTAATCCTTGAAGGTTAACACATATTATTAGGTATGTCATCAATGAAGGAATATATTTACCTCTAACTCAACAACTCTTCTGACAAAGTTTCACCTGCTGGATTACATTTTCAATTTTTCATTCCGAGGAACCTTTTTTCAAGCCCATCTTTTTAATTTTTTGAAGACATTCCACTACAGCCACTTCATTGACTTTCAACTTGATTTTTGTAATCAAAAAATTATTAAAGTATTCTTAAATACCTGCCAAGAAGTCTTTCAAACAAGATTTTCTGAATCTGCAAACATTCAATGAAACTTTTGCTGGTCCAAAAATTTTTTATGGAACACTGAGATATGGAAAACTTCATGTAACCAACAACAAAAAATCGTTCTACAGAGAAAACCGTTGCAGACCATATCGTTGTAGAGAGTCCACCGGAGTGTTTCGATTTACATTTTAAATAAATGGTCATTATGTCCTTTAGAAATCTAGACATAGAGAATTCATAAATAAAGTGCTTCTANTATATGTAAATATATATATATATATATACACATGTACGTAAAAATAATAATCAGATAAAACAAATACTACGCAGTGAATCATCACCGAAGCTAACTTTTCTCCGATGAGCAGCGACAACGCATAAAATGCGAATCTCCTGCTATATACTCGGCTGTCGAGCAGGCATCAGAAAAATTGAGGAATGTACGCAGCGAGGGTTGACAGATTCACATCTTAATAATAATAAGACAGTATCATTATTAATAATAATATTATATATATATATACATTTATATTTATTCACTCAAAAATGTCAGATGCTTTTAAAAGTGAGAAGCATTGGGGAAAAGGTTTCCCCATTATGATTCTTACTTTTTAAAAGTAATAAATACATCTGACATTTTCAACTGAAGAAATATGCACAATGGTACAAAAATTGGTACGATGTTTGTATTGTATGTTGGTAGTGAACATTAATTTGTTGGGCATTTTTTTAGTTTCAGGATTTTACTCATATTACCAAATATTGCCCAGGTGTGGCTGGGCACAATCAGCTAGTTAATAATATCAGTATTAATAATAATGATATCAGTATTAATGATAATATCAGTATTAATTATAATAATATCAGTATTAATAATAATAATATCAGTATTAATAATAATAATATCAGTATTAATAATAATAATATCAGTATTAATAATAATAATATCAGTATTAATAATAATAATATCAGTATTAATAATAATAATAATATCAGTATTAATGATAATAATATCAGTATTAATAATAATAATACACCTCAAGGCCGCTGCTCGTTTAATTGACGACACATCGCATTTGCAGCGAGATGCGTGTCGACAACCGACATTTGTTACCTTCGCTTGAACACTTGAACCCAGCAAGTTGAGCATCCGAGCAAAGCGTGAGAGGCTTTGATCGTGTTGGACTGCGTCGGGCAAAGAAGGATCATCCCTTGGCAACAAGGTGCACAAGGAAAAACCAAAAAAAGTGCCGGGACGATTACATATCGCGTTTTTCGAGATTTCAGACAGCCGTAATTTTGGGGAAGGGGATAATTTACCAGCAAGTTGAATGCCTCAGCCGATCACTCACTTCAACGCATTCAACACGCGTCGGGAAGGTCAAGGACGGATGGCGTTGTTTTCAATTTCCAACGAGTTTTTGAAAAAGGAAAACGAGGCTCAGTTTGAAAGTTTCACCAGTCTTGAATGCTGTGCACAGAATGAAAATCAAACCAAGTCCAGAAAATCTTGCACGGATTTTCAAAGAAATATCTTTTTGAAACCAAAGAAAAATTTTAAAAAAATTGAATCCTGTAAATGTTTTCTTACAAAATATACTACAAACCCCGCAACGCGATTCGGGTATTCATTTCCAATCCGATTTCAAGGTCAGTGATTCTCTCATTTGCAAAATAAATTCAAATTGCCCCGAAGATACGAGTATATGTCCTTGTTTTGGAAACAGACGACCATATGCCACAATTTTCTGGTACTTTTTTCGATACATTTTCAAAGGAAAAAAGAGAAACGCTTGAAGTGCACAATTTATACTTTACAAGCAAGAATAAGGAATCCTTAAACCATACTTCATAAGTATTCTTCATAAATACTTCATAGCCTGAGCACTAAGAAATGTTTCGATTGATTACAAAATACATCGATAACAAATAGACAACAGGCTTCTACCAATTAAACTAGGAATTATCTGACGAAATTTCTAAGCTGAGCCCAAAATGCAGACTAATGAGCAAGAATTTGCTCGAATTTAGATGTCAAATGAAGAGTAGACTAGTCTTAATCCCTCGGATTTAACATTAAAGTATTGACACAAAATAAACTTGATTCTCCAACATTATATCATAAGAATCTCGACTCAGCCTGATGAATTAATGAATCGGTGATTTGTAAACTTTGCCACAACATCAATCGCACCTTTCTTGAAGTGATCAACTGACGCTCGAAACCAAACTGTTAAATATCAAATAATAATTTTCCGTAAAAAACTCAAATATTAAATTTTCAATTGCAATCTCAGTTTTCGGTGACGAAAATGTATGAAAAATTTGGAAAAAAGGAAAATGTTTCCAAATTTTTCTCCATTAACCTCCTCACGAACGACTCTACTGTTTTAAATTGTCAACTCGTCTCAGACAACAGCGTTCAAGCCTCGTCANTAATATCAGTATTAATAATAATAATATCAGTATTAATAATAATAATATCAGTATTAATAATAATAATATCAGTATTAATAATAATAATATCAATATTAATAATAATAATAATAATAATATCAGTATTAATGATAATAATATCAGTATTAATCATAATAATACACCTCAAGGCCGCTGCTCGTTTAATTGACGACACATCGCATTTGCAGCGAGATGCGTGTCGACAACCGACATTTGTTACCTTCGCTTGAACACTTGAACCCAGCAAGTTGAGCATCCGAGCAAAGCGTGAGAGGCTTTGATCCTGTTGGACTGCGTCGGGCAAAGAAGGATCATCCCTTGGCAACAAGGTGCACAAGGAAAAACCAAAAAAAGTGACAGGACGATTACATATCGCGTTTTTCGAGATTTCAGACAGCCGTAATTTTGGGGAAGGGGATAATTTACCAGCAAGTTGAATGCCTCAGCCGATCACTCACTTCAACGCATTCAACACGCGTCGGGAAGGTCAAGGACGGATGGCGTTGTTTTCAATTTCCAACGAGTTTTTGAAAAAGGAAAACGAGGCTCAGTTAGAAAGTTTCACCAGTCTTGAATGCTGTGCACAGAATGAAAATCAAACCAAGTCCAGAAAATCTTGCACGGATTTTCAAAGAAATATCTTTTTGAAACCAAAGAAAAATTTAAGAAAAAATTGAATCCTGTAAATGTTTTCTTACAAAATATACTACAAACCCCGCAACGCGATTCGGGTATTCATTTCCAATCCGATTTCAAGGTCGGTGATTCTCTCATTTGGCAAAATAAATGTCAATTACGCCGAGGATACGAGTAATGTATATTTCCTTGTTTTGGAAACAGACGACCATATGCCAAAATTTTCCGGTACTTTTTTCGATACATTTTCAAAGGAAAGAAGAGAAACGCTTGAAAAGTACACAATGTATACTGTACAAGCAAAAATTAGGAATCCTTAAACCATACTTCATAAATTCGTTGGTGGTCTGAGCGCTAAGAAATGTCTCGATTGATTACAAAATGCATCGATACCAAATAGACAAAAGGCATATACCAATTAAGCATAGGAATTATCTGAAGAAATTTCTAAGATGATGCTAGCCCAAAATGCAGACTAATGAGCAAGAATTTGCTCGAATTTATATGTCAAATGAAGAGTAGACTAGTCTTAATCCCTCGGATTTAACATTAAAAGTATTGACACAAAATAAACTTGATTCTCCAACATTATATCATAAAAATCTCGACTCAGCCTGATGAATTAATGAATCGGTGATTTGTAAACTTTGCCACAACATCAATCGCACCTTTCTTGAAGTGATCAACTGACGCTCGAAACCAAACTGTAAAATATCAAATAATTTTCCGTAAAAACTCAAACATTCAATTTTCAAGTGCAATCTTAGTTCTCGGTGAAGAAAATGTATGAAAAATTTGGAAAAAAGGAAAATGTTTCCAAATTTTTCTCCATTAACCTCCTCACGAACGACTCTACTGTTTTAAATTGTCAACTCGTCTCAGACAACAGCGTTCAAGCCTCGTCAAACTCGATTATACGAGAGATAATTCTCATGTTGGAAAACATGAAAACTAAAAAAAAAATCCCAAGGCAAACATCAAAAGAGAACGAGCACGAATGAGCGACGCAGTTGTTCAACACGTTCTCGACCTCAATTTAGTCGTACAGCGGAAACATTCTTCTCAGAATGAATCCTTTTAACCTCAATCCTTCCTCCTCCAACTAAATTCGAAAGAAAAGAAACAAAAAATAAACGTCATTTGCATGATCAGAAATGACAAAATTTATAACCGTGTATCTGCTTCATCAACAATTGAAATGAAATTAAGATGCGCGTTGAAGGCTATTTAATACTGATGTCATTCATAAATGCGTCAAATTCAAAGAAATTAGTAGCATATCTTCTTTTCGGATGGTTTCCGTGCGAGGATTCCTCAGAATACGCCCACAATTTGTTCCATTTTCTCAACTATTTCTCAGAGAATCGGCAGAAATGAACATGCGAAAAATGCGAGAAATTGCAGTCAACGTTCGTTCACCCGCTTCTTCCTGGAACGCCCTTTTTTTGGGCCAGGACACGCGAGCAACCAGTCTTTCATGCATGTACAGTAAGGCAGGCAATTTCCCATTTATTATTCACACATTTTTCATCCGAAAAATAAAATCTTTCTTTCTCGAAAGAATGTGGTATTCCCGACAAATAATTAAAAACACGGCGTTCTTGTCCCGTGTCAGACTGGGAAGCAGCTGGACGGAGACATTTAGAAAGTTGTCTAGTGAAATGATTATGCGGGCACAGTCTTTACCTGACAGCAGAGAAAAGAGGACTTTTTGTCTTATTTCAAGAAACCAAAAAAGTGTTTGGCATGCTAAAACAGGAGATCCGGTAACAGAAAAATACTTCGAGCATTATGTTGGGTATGAAACAATCCTTGAATCAACTGTATCAGGATTAAGTGCAACACCCTTGTTATCCAATATTCTGTAAAAACTTCCTTCAGAAAAATTTTTTTCTATCAAGAGTAAAACAAAATGCTTGGAAAGATCTGTGACAAAACAAAATTACTGAGCAATTTACTATACTGGATCTCCTTTCACGTTTCAGGAGCAATTTCTCTGGATTTGTTTCTCTTCACAAAAATTGCCAACAATTACTCAAATACATGTTTGTCAGGCTCTACAGCCTCTGGTAATTTGCCAAATTTTGTTTTGCGCGAGAATATTCTCTCGAAGTGGAATAACCTCCAAATTAAATCTCAGGAATCAATCATTTTCCTCTTCAAGAAATGATTCCTCTATTGCTGGAGAGATATTTGTGTGTGGTGGAAATGTGTCAATCAAGTGGTTCTTTCAACCATGCTGTGGCACTTTGGGCCATGAAACCAAACAACATTGGAAAGGGAATTGAACAAGCTTTCATTTGTGGCTTTTTTTAATTGCTGCAGCTAGATTTGAAAACAAGCTATTTCAAGTCAAAAATCGGTTCACTTTCTTGGGCTTAGCCTATAGAATCTAAGAACTAACCCAACACGAAACCTAACGTCACCTGAAAATGGTGGAAAAATACTGAAGTTTATTAATCTCTTGTCGTGCTTCGAATGCTGAGTTCCTCTGAATGAAATCAGCAGCGCCTGCGTTTCATCGAATAATAAACTCGAACTTCGGCTGACAGCAAAAGAAGTGGAGTTTCACCTTTTCTTGATGTTTTTTTATTGATGGTTCCTCTAAAATTTCAAATCGTAAGACGGACGTTGCCCAATAGTTATCACTTCAAATGAATAGTACAGTACAATAATCTTTGGTCTATTGATTTAATCGTTCAAACTCTTCTTCAAACAGGAGGAGAATTTCGTATCCGATTGAGAAATTCATAAATATTACAAGTAGACTCTTTCTCTACAACAACCTTGTCTACAACGAAATTCTTCTTAAAACGATTTTTTCCGGTCCCACAGGAATTCCTCTTAAAAGAAATTCTCTCTACAACGAATTTTTTCTGGTCCTTCGAATTTCGTTGTACAGAAATTATTTTTATAACGATTTTTTTTGGTCCCATAGGAATTCCTCTCGAAAGAAATTCTCGCTACAACGAATTTATTTTCTGGTCCTTCGAATTTCGTTTCAGCCGCCAACTGTATTACACATTAAAAAAATAAAACTCACCGAATTGGCACGCGGAGATGTTGAAGAGTCCCTTGGGAGCGCAATCTGGCGGATCGAGGCAAAAGCACGCATTGTCCGGTTGGGCCACGTCAAAGGCGTCTTCCGGTGGCGTCATCCTGGCCGTGCGGATCCCGTCGTGGAACACGTCACCGTCGTAGACGAGCGGCATGGCCCTGCAAAACTTGGGGTTGAAAATGTACAGCGTCTTGGAGGTGTCGATGTCCGGGGGAAAGGCAGAGCCGTCAGAGCCATGAATGGCGTTGCAGCTGTCTTCTGCCCAAAAGGGCAACTGCGTCATGCCGTCGAAGTCCTTGATGAGTCCCTTGCGAGCAATGTCGCCGACGCCGGTGTAGGTGGTCAGGTTCTCTTTGGAAGTGCCGTTCGACTGCGGAATTAATTTCAAGAAGGAAAACATGAGAATAAATCGAATGACATTATTTCGCTATTCGAGCAATAAAGGAAAAATCGCAGACAACAAGATTAGCCAGCATCTCATTATCTCATTGATTCATTCATGAAACTCCGATGCATAGGCCCGATTGGAAAAGTATCCCAATTGAGTTTCCTGGAATCTTCTTGAAAGCAAAAGTTGTCATCAACGGAAAAATTTCAAATGATCAGGTCCACTGACGAATTTAAATTTGGGCAATACTGAAGTTAAAGCGTTACACGACGTCTTTCACACTAAAAGCTGGGGGGGGGGGGGGGGGGACAGTTGAAGAAAATTTTCGTTTCTAATGCATTGTTTCTTTTAGAAATAGCTCAATCACACAAAATTTATTCTGTACTTGATTTATGGCATGAAACTGCACCTTATCCCCGAGCATAAGATGATTCGTGTTCGACTGTTTCCCATTTAAAAAACAAGGCAAACCAAAACCCAGGAACAATAACTGAAACCATCCGAATAATGATTCTCTTACATTCATTCTTTTAAAAACATTTTTCTGCACCATTCCGATGAAAATTTTTCAAGATTGGCGATTAAAAACGGGGAAATAATTTTTCTTTTTAGCACAAATTCATGCGTGGTTCATTCACCATCATTCCACAAACAGAAGAGACAAAAACATTCATCATAAGGATGCCACTTGTTTCCTCAAATTTTTCGAGGTTTCAGAATAACATCACTTTTGCTAAATGGTGATCGGCTCGACGGGCTTTGTATCCGAAAACAAATGAAGCGTGGAACTGTGCGTAAATATTTATAGTTTTCGTCTATACCCGGTGAAAATCACCAAAATTAGGGCAAGGATTTAAGGGTACTATTAAATAGAACTCACAGAGAAAGGAATAAATAAACAAGCGCATAACATTACAAATTCAGACAAAATAAGCATTTAAAAGCGTTTCGAAGGAACAGTCTGAAGTTTCAAGGATACCGAAGAATTTTCGCACCAGTTCAAGTCTCATTTTCCTCTGTTTTTCGTCGAAGAGTTTTTTTTTTTTTTCCTCAAGAGATCTCAAAATAAAGTGACTGGACGAAGTCCATCAGCATTCTTAAGTTTCGTTGCTACGGAAAAACTGTGCCAAAGCTTATCCTCAGACCATACGTTTATAAAATGAATTTTGAATAAACCCCCGCAATTTTCACACGCTAATCGTAATTGCAGCGGATCCATACGGTGCTAAAGTTTAAATTTCGTGTCTAGCAAATTTTACCATAATGATTAATTTCGAACTTGAAATGCTCAAGTTCTTTAATATCATCAACTCAATCCTTTCTTCAGATGTTCTCAGATTAAGCGATGCACGCAGTAGTCATCCACATTCGACAATTGACTAACGAATGCTTTTCTGAACCATTCCTTTGAAAACTCCGTGGTAGAATGAATTCTAAGAACACGCACGAAGCACCCACATCATAGCGGAAGTCTAAATTTATTAATGGCTGATTTTCAACTTGAAATTTTTTTAATTTCAAGAAATCAAAGTCATTCTTCAGGTGTTCTTTTAAACGAAGTTACAGACACAATACTCGAGTCCACAATCAGCTGGGCACTATCCGTGTACCAATAGTTGAAATTATCGAAAACCTATTCATCTATAAAAATACAACTGTAAATCGTCAACAACAAAAACCAACATTAAAAGAAGCATGGAAGCAATCATGCTAGAGGTACTCCCATTTTAGAGGAAGTCTAACTTGCCAATTTGCTTTTAAACTTGAAATATTCAAATTTTTCTATGACAGCAACTAAATTCCTTCTCTCGATTTTTTAATACATGAATTTACGGACGCCGTAGTCCACAATCAACGCATATTTTTAACCACTCTGCAGAAAACCTTATCAACTGGACAACTGCAAGTAAAATATACAATTGTGAATCACAAACAACAACAACAAACAGTATCAACAGAAGCATGGAAACAATCATGCAGCAGGAGAAACCCACACCGTAGAGGAAGCCAAACTTCTTAATTGATCATTAAACTTGATATATACAAAATTTTCAATGACATCAAGTAATTTCCTTTTTCGGACGCCTTCTTTTTTTAATGAAGTTATGGAAGCAGTAGTCCACATTCAACACTTGGATTTTTATGGATCATTCCGTGTACACCGCTAGTTATTGAAACTGTCGAAAATCTAATCAACTGCAAGTACTGTAAAGTACACAAATGTGAATCGTCAATAACAACAAGCAGACTGATTTGACAGAAGCATGGAAACAATCATGCAACAGGAGGAGACACCCTCATCGCAGAGGAAGCCGAACTTGTTAATTGATCATTAAACTTGAAATATTCAACATTTTCAATGACATCAATTAATTCCCTTTTTTGGACGCCTCCTTTTTTAATGAAGATATGGAAGCAGTAGTCCACATTCAACACTTTAATTTTTATGGGTTCCGTGTACACCGCTACTTATTGAAACTGTCAAAAACCTAATCAACTGCAAGTAACCTACCGTACACAATTGTAAATCGTCAACAACAAGAAAAACAAGCAGATTGATTTGACAGAAGCATGGAAACAATCATACAACAGGAGGAGACACCCTCATCGCAGAGGAAGCCGATCTTGTTAATGAACCATTAAACTTGAAATATTTAACATTTTCAATGACATGAACTACTGTGTAATTCCCTCTTTCGGACGTCTTTTTTATGAATTTACGGATTATGTTTTGTAACTGTCAAAAACCTAATCAACTGCAAATACTGTAAAGTACACGATTGTAAATCGTCAACAACAACAAAAAGACTGATTTGACAGAAGCATGGAAACAATCATGCAACAGGACGAGGCACCCACATCGTAGAGGAAGCCGAACTTGTCAATTGATAATTAAACTTGAAATATTCAAAATTGTCAATTACATCAACTAATTTCCTTCTTCGGACGTCTCTTTTTGCATAAATTTACGGACGCAGTAGTCCACATTCAAAACTTTAATTTGTATGGATCACTCCGTGTACAGTACACCGCTATTTTTTGAAACAGTCAAAAACCTAATCAACTGCAAGTACTGTAAAGTACACAATTGTAAATCGTCAACAACAAGAACAGCAACAACAAGCAGACTGATTTGACACAAGCATGGAAACAATCGTGCAACAGGACGAGGCACCCACATCGTAGAGGAAGCCGAACTTGTCAAACGGCGGGGTCTGGCCGGGCGGCATGATGTCCTTGGCCATGCGCAACAGTGGGTCGTCGTAGCCCCACAGCAAGTCGCCCACCTTGAACGGCATGAAGGGCTCCACCTTCAGGATAGTCGTGAACATGCTCGACAGCGCCACTCGCATCATGGACGACCCATATTTCAGCTTGTACACCGCCGCCTTATTGCGAGACGATGAAAGAGAGAGAGAAAAAGAAAAGAAAAGGCGTCAAATACTGCACTTTTTCACACGGAAATATTTCCTACCGGAATTTCAGAGATATTCAAGTACAAACCACAACAATAAAACAAAATATGGGAGGGTTGGGGTGCGAGGTTTATTTTAACATTTGACTTTTTCAAGCAACCCCCGCTGCATATTTGTCAACAAAATTGTCAACTTCGAACTTACGGAACGCTATCACGTGCTCATTTCTGCTTTAAAGCAGCAAAAATGAAGCAACATTTCAGAACGAAACAAAAAAAAAAGCTTTTCCGCACGGAACAGAGATGAAAATTAAGGCAAAGCTCGTGAATTACGCTCTTCCGTTTTGAATTCAATTGGATGATGAAAAATGGGGCAAGGAACTTTTTTCCATTTTTTCCCGCTTTTCACTCAATCAAATTGTCTAGCTTTGGAACAACGATACGAGCATATTTTTGCCATAGAAGTAAAATCAACCACAATGGATGCAAAACGGAGAAAGCAACTTCAACCAAGATCGGTTTTACTCGCGCCACTTCTTTCCAGCCTTAAGATTTCTGCCAAAAATGCTATTCGACACTTGAAAATTGGAACAAATTCCACTCATTAACAGCATTGCCCTCAACGACTCGTCTATGTCCATTTCACGCGCACACAAAAATACATCAATATTATTTACAAAGTACTGTACTGTAAATGATAAAACGTTGTCATCTGCTCACACGAAACGATGATCAATGTCAAGATGAATGAAGTGGATTAGGTTTTTTTTTTTGCGTGACCGGAAGGAAGAGACTCGATACTAACCATCATAGGGACGTTCACTGTCATGATGATGTCGTCTTCTTTCCCAGCAGACTCACGTGGCATGAAATACTTGATTGTCTTGAGCCTGAAAGTCACTGTTTTGTTCTTGTCATCGAACTTGTCCACCACTTTCTCCCATTTTTCCCTATATTCAATTTTTTTAAAAACGAATAATTAATCAAGGTTTACATAGGTGCTCCAAATCGTAGACTGAAGAAGCAGTTGAAATTTTTAAAAATTAACCAGAACAGAAATAAGGTTTAATGATATAGAAGCCAGCGGATGATTCACTAATGGTCGAAAACAAGATAACCCAAAATTTCGGAGCAATAATCGAGTTCTCAACAGACGAAGCAGTGATGAATACAAAGGAAAATCAAGTAAACTCAAATTTTTCGCGTAAAATCCAACATAAAGCGAAGCAAGGAAATTAATCCAAAATCAGTTTTACTTCTACAACAGTCGGGGCATTCCTAATTTTTTTTTTCAGACTTTATGGGCTTCTCACAAGAGAAAAGTTTGCTTTCATATTTGAAGCGTGATGGGTAACGTATGAAGACTAATGTTTCAAAGGCGTATTTATGAGACAAGTCAAAACAAACTGTCTTTCAAGGTTTCTGAAAATTATTTGATTCGGAAATGAGGAAAAAATGTGGAAACTTACCTGTAAACGTAAGGACCGACTTCTTCCAAAATCGGAATGTCACCACTTAGCGTCTTCTCGGCATTCGTCAAATTGAAAAAATAAACCTTCGTAATTGGTTCCACAGGAGGCTCTAAATACAATTCTAGAGGCTCCGACCCGTTCTTCATCTCAAGTTCCTGCAAATTTGAAAAGGAAACATTGTTTCAGAAACAAGACAAACAAAAGGCGTCTTGCTCCCTTCAACGTTCCGGACCTAAAGAATTTTCTATAAATAAATAAATAAAAAATATCGCCTGAGTTTGTAACTGCTCATATTTTATGTGAGTCAAGTTTGGATCATTTCAGCTTGAATTAAATTTCGGCAGCAGTTCCCTACGGTTCTCGAGATTTAAAGAACATTAATGCTCAATATGCTGCACATGTTATGTCACATCAAATCAGTTCTTGTTTCACCAGAATAGCGCACTTTTCCATTCAACATTGATTTCATTTAAAGATGGGTATAGTCAATAGGCTCTGGTCGGATTTTTCGGAGACTCTCTCGAGAGACTTCTGCAGAAAAATGTCCAAGAAACATGCATAAAAAAGAATACATTGACGTAAAGACATCAACAAATGATTGATTGATCGAACGGGCTGTACCATATAAATTTATTTTTACAACAGATAAAGCTTGAGACCTAGAGATTGAAAACTACTTGTGAGGTAGTGAACATTCATCTGATTTATGAAACTGGAGTCTTGGAAAAATTAGCCAAAATGAACAGGAACCACTCACCGTTTCAAAAGGTGGAAAATTTGCAATGTCATCAGAGATTACGCGGTTCTAATACACTGTATTTAAAATTATAAATTCCCTCCTAAATCTACAGTGGTATAGCCCTTACGACGTCTGATGTTACGCTCCAATCCAATCCTGAGAGGAAATTAGGGACTAAAAATAAAAATAAAAATCGATTTATCTTCTTTCACTGTAGACAAAGCTTTTGTAAGTTCGGTAATTTTATTGTCAACAATTGCGGGTTCGAAAATCGAGAATTATTTTACTTCCATGAGTCTCGAAGTCACCAGTGCAGGAATCTTTTACGGGTCCTCTGAAGCAGACAAATGTATGTTAAGCAAAGGTTCTCGATTACTTAAAAGCCGCGAACGCAGAATTATCATTCAAATTCTTAGTTACGGCGACACCTGTGCGACATCTCGAAAACTAACTCAGGGCATCACCACGCGCAGAACCCAGAAACATACAGGTATGTACAGCTGAATGTTTCTAAAAATTTCGTCTACAACAATTTTCACGGTACAACGAATTTGTTCGTTCCATATTCGTTCCATACTCTTCCAGCGTTGTACGAGTCCTTTCTCTACACCAAAATTCTCTCAAGGACAATTTCTTTCTGGCCCCTTGAATTTCGTTGTAGAGAGAATCTACGTTATTGGCAACACAAACTTACCTTGTGAATGACCATCGTGATGAGGTCTTGAAAATAAACCACAGTCAGCAGGCCAAAGATCAGCGCAACCACTCCAGTGGCTCCCATCGCAGCTGCAAAACACACACAAAGAAAAAGCGCAGAATTAGACAAAAGAAAATCCACGATGTCTCATCACGTAAAACATTCAAAATTCAACGAGATCTCGTCAATAATTACCCCATGCTTTGAACATGCACAACAGCTCGGAGAACCGGTATCTCTCCTCCGGCTTCACCAACTTCATAGTTTGCATTTTTCACTTCTTTTTTTGTTTTTGTTTAGCCTCACGCGCGAAAACTTTCTGTAAATAAGCCTGACAAAAACTCTTGACGTAAAAAACACTGCGTTAGAATACCATGAAAAGTGAGGAAAACGCAACGAAATCCGCGAGGATGAGTAAGCTAGAATTTCAGTTGTCACGCAGGAAGTATCGGGACCAATGATGGAAAAACGTGCGAAAGTTAAAGGAGGGCGAAATGAATATTGAAAAAAAATCATCAGTTCCTCTCCAACCGGTATGAAGTACTGTAATGTACAACACTGTCCACGTTGGTACTGCAGAGAGTCACGGTACGTTTTCATTGTAATGGTTATCAAAAACGTGCATTCATTAGATAGAGAATCTGCAAACTCTCTATATTTGAAAGAAAACTTCCTTAATACAGTGTATAAAATAAATTGATTATTCCTAAACAAATTTTTTTAGCTTCCGCGAAAATAGCAGCAGATGCTGAGTTGCACCACACGATATTCCGATGGCTTTCGTCGCAGAATGAAACAAAGAAACCATCTGACGCGATATTTCCGTCAGTTTTGACAAATTGGATTTGACGGAAGAGACATCCCATCTAGATTATGTTTATAGAACGCTTCGTGATGAACAATTTAATCAATTGAAGGAACACTTCGGGCGATGTCAAGGGTTAATTCATTCGGGGTCAAGTGAGCGTCGATCACAAGTCACAACTGAAAGCCAGGAAAAATGTAGAGCCAGCAGTCGACAGTTTTACAGTACAGTACTTGATTGACAAGTTGTTTCAACAATTTCCATCGTAAAAACAACAGTAACATGCTACCATTATGGCATGCACTCGCATGCATGCTGTGACTGGAATTATTGCGCAGAGTTCGAGAACTATTCGCTTTTTGCGGTGAGAAATATTTTCATGGCAGTGAATCCCTGCCGCTGAAACACAAAAAAATCATTACATTAATGGGAGCTCCGAGGGTGTCATTGTGCAATTCGCAAAGCTCCGAGGGAATCTCGTTTTTGTGCAGGCTAAAAATTCTAGATTTTTCTTTTTTTTACAGAGACGCAAAATTGGCAGAGTCACGGTTTTTCTTAGAATAGCCCCGGGAAAATTTTACAAAGAAACACTGTGAAATTCAAAATGACCCTGAATTATTTTCACTCAGACCGGATTTTCGGCTTCAAAATAATGTCGTTGTTTCATTAGTTTGCAATTTAGACTTATCCGCGAAATAGCTTGTTTATTTTTTTAGTCAATATCAAGAGAAAGATTTGTCGTTGGAACAGCCACAGACAGCGCATTAATTTAATAGATAAGGCTGTGCCATTGTATAAAGTAAGATTGCATGACTTTCTTCGTGTTCAAAATTCACCGAATGTCACGCTTCAAGATTAATTTGTTGAGACAAGTTCCACATCGATTCTTAGCTTATTTTCTGTTGAGTGAGTTTGCTGACATCCGAGTGCACGGCATTTAAAACCCACATTTATCTTGTAAGAACTCTTTTCATTGTTATTCGTTGCTACGATGGAAAATTCTGAGGAAATTAGCGGTATAAAATGTTGCTGTATGCACTTCCGAAACTTGTCAGGAGTAGAATCACAGATTTTTTCAAACATTTTTTGAAGGAGATACACGTTTCATGCCTGAAAACGAGCGCAATGAAAAAATGTCGATTCGGCGTTTAAAACAGAACTCTCGATCAAACGATCAAAAATCTCGAGCCTTTCCGTACATTAAAAAAAAAAAGAAACAGATTTTCTCTCATTATTCTCTTCCAGAGGTTCGAAAAGAAGTTATCTACAGTAACAAAAATAATATTATAACCCTATTTCAGGGTATTTCTTTCAAATCAAACTCCTCCGGCAAGCAGACAACTTTTTTCTGATCCCAGATTCTATGCCGTGGTTTTGTTCGTCAAACAAGAACTATTTTCCAAACACTTTACTGTGAATCTCAATTTTAAAGACGTATCTTTCAGCCTAGATACAGATACTGTACATTGGATACGAGGATAAATGGAATCGCTGAATCTATCCGCAATATCTTCCATCAACCTTTCTGCATTCAAAGGTACAGTACATTATTTCATCGCAGACTTAATGCGCAGTAGAAAAATTGAAACTTGCGTCTCGTGTCTTTCAAATTTAAATACCAGTGTCTTCGCTGTATTGAATTCCACAAAAAAAAGTTTGCCTTCATCAAAAGCAATCATGCAATTGACCTGCGAATATAGATCGACATGGAATGTAGGACCTAATTCAAAGCGACGAAGTCATCGCACGTACACGACACACAGTTTTTCACAAAATATTTATTTAAAAAAAAGTACAGCACACGATAATTAAAATTAATTCGGTAGACTGAGCGAAAAAAACACGTCGTGATTTCAGGAGTATATCATCGTCGTCGTGAACTTTATCCATTCCCATGCCGGACATAACCTCCAAGTGGACGCGCATTTCATTAATCGCCTCATCGTGACGTGAGAAATTACCTTGAGTAAGAAGAGGTTACACGGGGGGGACATTCAGACAGGCCAACGGCGACACCGAGGGAAAAGAAGGAGGCGATAGCGACATGCTGATAAAAAGTTTGTCAAGTTCACTCCCAGCATGATTTAAGATAGTGACGATTGCACAGCAGCAGCAGCAGCAGCAGCAGAACCACTACCAACAGCGGCGACGAAAAGGAGACAAGGTGGAATACGAACAGGAAGAGGGGATGAAACGATTTCCGGATTTCACACGACACCTAGATCCGGAAATGAAGGGGTTCGGGTGGATTTTCCGAACCAAGGATGCAAAGCCCTCTTTCCTTTTTTGACGTCAAGAACTATATCCGTCGCACGTTCGTATCCGGTGTCCTAAATTTTTTATGATATATCCGGTATAAGGCTAAATCCCCTCGACAAAGTCCCTCTCTACTTGCTGATGACAGCAATTAAAATGGGCACTTAAGAGAGACAAATGCGGCCAATGAAAGCATTTTAAAATTGGATTTTAAAATTTTAAATCCACATCATTTTCATAAACAGTGTTGTTGCTGGGGAACCGCGCTCTGCTACCAGTTCTATGCTGAGAAACAACTTGCCCTAACATAAATTTTCGAGTGTTTCAGGATTGAAAAGAGATAAGAGAAAAGCACTTCTGAATACAAATTCAACTCAGCCTGGGACAAGGCCGGAAATTCCCGTGAAAGGTTAGTAACGTATTTCTTTGTCCCAACAAAAACTAACACAGTAAAGATAATACGCTTTGATGATAAATAACAACTCAGGAGAATTCTTCCTAGTTACAACACGAACTTCTCAGCAAAAGCTTTCCAAATGACGGATAGATGACGTCAAACAAAGAGGGATGTATTTATTTTTCTTTTGTGCCTTCCAGATTTTCATACGGGTATTAGCAGTGTTGCGCTTTCATGGGCCTTGGATTGGCCAATTTTGTTGAGGTCAAAGACGTTGTAGGGTCTTGCTGGCTTTTTTTTTTTTAGAGATCAGGGTCTGAAGGGTTTCTTCATTTCCAGGTTGTTTCAGTGCTATTGTTTCTGCTTGATTGACAAGGTGTTCGGCGTGGTTACCCAACAAGTTTTTCAAAGTGGGAAAGATTATCTTGCATCAAAATGAAGATCAGCAGGCAAACACAACTTGCATTTTTTGCAATATTCAATTTTTAAAATTTCTGACATTGTTTGCTCCATCTTACAAATCAAAGTTGAAGAAAATTTCACCCATTATATGCCACATTGAATTCCGCATCAGCATTTTTGACCTGATTTTTGTGTTTTTTTCTGTGCAAAAGTTGTTCCCTGTCCTCTGTACCAAATTTTCTGTTGGCAAAATTAAGTTTCACGACAGAAGGACTGGTGTTTTCAAATATGAGAAAATCCAGCACCTGGTGTTTTCCATGCAAAAATCCTGCCAAAAGCAGGGAAGAAATTGCATGAAACCAAGGACTTTCTCTGGGACACACAGTCAACCCAAAGTCCATCAGACAGACAGTTGAACTCAATTTAAATAAAATATTTGCAGCGTTCTTACCAAACTCGGGGAAATTCATACTTTTCCAAAATTCTTGTGAACATTTGTGATCTTGTTAAACTTGTATTGTGAAGCATTGTAATCAAGTGTTGCGCATTCTTTATTCCGTTTGGGTAAAAAGAAAGGTCAGTGCTCTTGGGGGGGGGGAGAGAATCCTGGTTGGTTTGAGCAACAATCAATTCTTTTTATCTTTATGCTGAAAACAATCAACTTCATTGTAACAATTTTAGTGATCAATGAGGTCAAAGATCACGGTGTAGTGCTTGAAAATCTCTNTACCAAACTCGAGGAAATTCAGACGTTTCCAAAATTCTTGTGAACATTTGTGATCTTGTTAAACTTGTATTGTGAAGCATTGTAATCAAGTTTTGCGCATTCTTTATTCCGGTTGGGTAAAAAGAAAGGTCAGTGCTCTTGGGGGGAGAATCCTGGTTGGTTTGAGCAACAATCAATTCTTTTTATCTTTATGCTGAAAACAATCAACTTCATTGTAACAATTTTAGTGATCAATGAGGTCAAAGATCACGGTGTAGTGCTTGAAAATCTCTGGCTCAAGTTTAAAATCCTACATTGCCCAGAAAAACCTTTTTTTTTGCAGATAAAGAAGTTGTATCAAAACGCAAAGTTTCTATAGAATACAAGCACAAGAAATTATCAGACAAAAACATTTATTCAGCAGATTTTTCTTCATTTTTGGCATTGTACCCAGAACGACATAAGAGGACGGTTAAATTACTAGATACTGAGTTAATAATACAAGGTATACTCCTAGTATTTATTTCACTAAGCACACATTTCTTTCCACAAGTCATCAATTTTTTAAAAATCTTCATAACAAATGCATTTGAAATCCAAAAAAACCAAAGATAGTGGATATAAATTCCAAGATGACAGTGAAACTTTCGGATCGGAAAAATTCTGTCGAAATCCAAGAAAAAGACGACGAAAGAAAAAGCTTTTGTCGTGATTGGAATTTCTTACACCTTCGTGCGATCATTGGACCACATTCGTACTCACGAAAATGTTCAGGTTGATGGAACAAAAACACCATTTAATTTACTTCAGTCGATACTCGACTTCATCGTCGAGACAATCGGAGAAAGTGGATCCAATCAACTAGCTTTTTGATAATTGAGGTGGAAAATACCTCAATGTCAAAAGGTCATCAATTTTCATTCGCAAAATGTTG